CCTTGCTCGTAGGCAATGAGTGAGCCAATCAAATTATCAATAGAATAATCATTCAAATCTTTTGATTCACAAATAGCAACAACATTGGCATCAAATTTTTCAAGTAAACGACGAAGAATTTTAATGACTTTTTCAAAATTTAAAAACTCTTTTCCTAAGGCATGTAATGATGTTAAAATTTGAATGAACCTTGTGTACATGTCTAAGATTGTCTCATAAGGTTTCATGGAAAATAGTTCAAAATCATGAATTAACAAATTCAACTTGGATTGCTTGATTTCACTAGTGCCTTCGTATATGGTGTGTACTTTATCCCAAATTTCCTTACCAGAAGTGCACGCCTAGCTATGGGGGCTAAAGGAGAGATACTTATTTTAGTGCAATACTTGGAGGGTGCCTCCAAGGAGTAGACGTAAGTCAAGATTTGACCGAACCACTATAAATCCGGTGTGTTCTTTCTTATTATTTACTTTCGCATTTAATTTCCGTATTTGGTTTTCTTTGTGGTGATTTTGGTTTGAGTTTTATCTTTGGTTTTAAAGTTATCAAATTCACCTCTCTCTTTGTTAGCCTTGGTTGATCAGTTCATAAGGGCTTAACATCCTTAACGAACTTTCAAGAGACATCTGAGCACTTTCAAGTGGTATCAGATCTAGCTTTCAAAAAATAAGTTTTAAAAAGCTTTTGAATTTCTATCCATGGCTAATTTTTCAAATCGTAATTTTGCGGAAGGTTTTTCAATCACCAGACCACCTTTATTTGAAAATACTACTTTTGATAATGGTTAAAAAATCTTCTTTGTTGTGTTTTGTTTTTATTTTTATTTTTTTCTTCTTTTCTTATTTCATGAAATTTGTTTTTCTGATCAACACACACATTCACTTATCTAAAAATGAATAATCTACTTCCTTTTTTTTGAACTCTTTGGTAAGTTGCGATTGACTTCTCTAAAAACAGTCAAAGGAAGAAAATTCATGTCTTTGACTCTTAATCTCTGTTTCCTAAAACAGGTTATTCTACTTTTGATTTAAAATCTTTTTCATCTTTTAAATTAGTTTTTGAAATAATTTTTTTTTATCTCCCTACATTTTATTTATCGCATAAAAATCTTTTGCAAGGTGCTGAATCTACATCATAATTTTCTTAATCAAGAATTTCA